TTAGATGGCCCAGCACCCACTGTGCCAGTGCAGCAGACGGCACCAGACTGTCTCTAGCACCTGCCCGTGCCAGCTCGCTCGCAGGTCAAGACTGAGCCAGGCTGCGCGCCGCGATGGCTTTGTGATCCCTGCCCAAGGTGCAGTGGGTCTGGGCTGAGCTGCTCCTGCATGTGTGCTCAGTCCTCTCCCCAGCTCATTCTCCTTCTGCCTGCGGATCACGCAGCGCGGCCGGGATACGGCCCCTCGAAAGCACACCCTTCCCTGGCAGGCCCAGCTCTCCCGACGGTGCGGGGCGCTCGCCTTCCCGTCCCGCTGGTCTTTGTGAGAGCCAGGCAGGCGGGAGTGAAACCCCGGCCCCCCAGGGCACAAGTGGGGCTCGTCCCCTGCCAGAGGGACTAGCCCAGCCTGGAACTCGGGGCTGCCCCGGCTGTGCTGCGGCTGTTCTCACCCCCCCCTCCCGCCCCGGCAGTGCTGCTGGCCCAGAACCTGAACTCGGACGACCAGGACGTGGTGCTGAAGGCGCTGAAGCGAGTGCCCGAGAGCCGGCTCAAGAAGGACGGGCTGAAGGCCATGAGCTCGCTGCTCATCGAGGGCAACAGCAAAGTCATCAGTGCCGTGTCCGCCCAGCTACGCAGCCTCGGCGAGAACCCCCGCTTCCGGGAACGGGTGAGCGCCCCAGGGCCCTCGCACCCCTGCCAGGCTGGGAATGGGGGATTGGGGGGGTACCAGCTGCTCTCAGAGGCTCTGCCCACGCCTAACGGCCCGGGGCAGCCCGCACAGTGCTGATCTCTGTGTCCCCCAGGCCCTGGTGTGGTACTTGGAGCAGCTGGAAGATGAAGAGGCGCAGACGCGAATCGCCAGCTGCGCAGCCCTGGGGTGTCTCAAGGTAAGTGCAGCCCCTGCGGCTCGTCTGCATGGGGATCGGTGGCAATGAGCAGCTGCCAAGGCCGTGCCCCTCTCACTGCTGGGCCATTGTGTCCATGGGGGATGACGTGGGGCCCAGGCTAGTGCAGCAGAGGGGAAATTGCCCAGATCCTCCCTGTACCCTGCTGCCGGTGGGACCTCAGTGGCCTCCCCTCCTAGGCACAATGGCAGCAGCATCCTGCATGTGCTGGCGTCCGGAGAGCCAGGGCGATGGCTGAGCTCAGCCTGTGTAGGGGAGGGGAACAGGGAGGGAGGGAGTGGAGCCCCAGCGAGACTGGGAGGGACTCAGGCAGCAGCAAGGAGGTGGCCTGTTCCCAGCCCGGAGAAGCCATGAGATGCGCCCGCACAGGGGAGGAGCCAGGAGGCAGCTCCACCCACCACTTCTGCTGGTCTCCTGGGCAGCACTAAGGGCAGTGGGGAGGGTGGGGGCAGGGGACATAGCCGGTCCAGAGCAGCCCATAGGGGACCCTGTCCTGGCCGACTGCCTGCAGGGGGCAAGCGTGGAGCTCTGGGACTGATCCCTGGGTCCCTCGCTCTGCCAGAACTAAGACAGGACCACAGAGACTTTGTTCCCACCCTCTACCTGTCTTCCTGGCCTCTGGCCTGCCCATGCTGCCCCTCCCCCAGTGCTCCCCGGGGTTGGGAGTGCAGGCAGGGCAAGGATGGGCTCAGCGCTGTGTCGGCCTCTCCCGGCAGGCCAAAGAAAGCATCGAGCAGCTGGTGTATCTGTGCCAAACGGACAAGGAGGATGTGCGGGAGGCAGCCAAGCAGAGCCTGATGCTATGCGGTGAGTGCCCTGCTGCACACCCAGGGCCTGGAGCGGCTCCTTTAGGTGACACCAAAGCCAGACTCTGCTCGCACCGCCGCTGGTACCATCCCAGTGCCACAGAGCTGATCCTAGAGCGAGGCTCCCCGGTCCTGTCCATGCTAGAGCCTGGCTGCAGAAGAGGGCACAGTGGACCAGCTAGATATGTCATAGGCCTTGGGTCCATGCCCCGCTCCACGAGCTCAGGCTTGCCACCTCGCCTGCTGCTGGCGCCACCCGTGGCCTGGCCGGGGCGAGAGCAGAAGCAGGCCCCTAGCCCGGCAGCCTGGTCCCCTAGGTAATGTCAGCAGGTGCTCTGAGAACGTGAAGTGTCATTGTTATTTATTATCATTTATTAGATGGCACTGAGAGAACCATCTGATTGGCTAACTAGGCTTCCGGGTCGTGACAGCAGCTGCACAGGTCGGGACGTGTTGGCCAGATTCGTTCCCGCTCCCCCATTCCTGCTGCTTTGCTCACGAGTGTCTCTTGTTTTGGACCCTGTCGGCCATGTCCTTTTAACCTGCGTCTTTGCTGTGTGTGGACCCCAGTTCTGTGGCACGCCCCGAATGTGTCGGCATGTAGTGTACGGCCTTGCTGGTGTGTGCATGTGTGCTGCCCCCTAGTGGCTGCAGCCTGCACAGGCTCTGCCAGCTGAGGGCATTTTCCCCTTGGCAGAACTGTTTGAGGGCAGTGGTGCTGGAGCTGAGCGCCCTGGGTTCCATCTGCACCCCCACCTGGATTCTTTATGATTACAATTCACATTGAATAGAAACGTGCTTTAGACGCCTGAAGCCAGCCGTGTGCATCAGCCCCGAGCTCGCAGTAAGCTGCAGGCCGAGCAGGGGGGAGCCAACACTGCCATACTGGGGCTCCAGCTCAGCTGGGCCAAGGCCTGAGTGGAGAGGACAGGGGGGCTTAGAGGGGCCTGGGAAGGGTGACTGACCGTGGTGTGTGTTTGCAGGGGAAGATGGGAAATCGGCTCACCGGCGGCTGGAGGAGACTCTGAACAGCTTACCGAGGATCTTCGCACCAGGCAGCATGGCCAGCACAGCTTTCTGAGACACGCTGGCACTAACACACTTGTGATCCCTTTGGGGTGAAGGCACCAGGGAGCTGCTGGAGGCTCTCTCAGCCTGGGCCCAGCTCCCATCCCTTGGGAACATGCAGCAGTATTAGTACCTCCCTGCCAGCCCGACACCCCCCCTCACTGCCTTACGGAGCACAGCTTTCCCTCCCCCCGGCACTGTGCCAGAGGGGCTGCTGGGCACACCACCGTGGAGAAGTGGGGCTTCGGACACTCCCCTCCCCTCCAACTTGCTTTTCTATTTCAACTTGCTAGGTGGGGCCAGAGCTTGTGCGCCCCTGCTGGAGACTGGGTTGGCCCGTGAAGTCTGCATTGGGACTCCTTCCAGTAGCTCGCAGGCTGCTCAGACTTCCCCAGATGGACATGCACTTTGAGGCGATGTTGTTTCTTTCCGGGAGCTCCCTTTGCTGTGGGCACCGTCCTCCTTCAGCGCCTGGAGTCCCCGGGACTCAAATAAAACGAGACATAGATATTAATATATTCTGCTGGCGTATCTTCTTTTCAGCTCCAAGGGTCTCCTGCCTCCCCCTCCCCTGCGTTGCCCGCAGGGACCCACAGCTGAGCCTTCCCCTGGTGTTAGTCATTTTTAAAGCAGGGTGGGGGAGAGGAGCAACACAGAGAGGGGACAGATGGACAGAAGCTGCCACCTTTTTGGTTTATTTTATTTTTTATTTACTGAGTTTTGCAGAAAAGCAAAAACAAAAAAATCTTTTCTATAAAGTCTCTATAAATCTATATATAATGTAATTACAGAGAATGGCTAATTTTGATTTTAAAATAAACCTTTAATGAGCAAAGGTGTCGCTTTGTGAGAGTTTTGCCTGGGACAGAAGTAGAGGCTAGTGGTTAAAGCGATGGTCGGCAGCATGGTCTTGTGAGCACAGCAGGGATTAGCTGTGTGGCCTGGGAAAGTTCCATGCTTCTGCTTGCCCACTTCTAAGATAGGGATGCCCATCTTCCCTGAGATTAGCTTGTTAGAGCACTTTAGGATCCTCACTCCTAGAAATGTGAAGTGGCTGGTCCCTGCCCTGTTGGGAGATCCCGCTCAGCACCCTGCTGGCTGTGGGGCAGCTGGAGGAGAGATGCTTTGGATGGGGGTGGAGAGCAAGTGTATTTTTTCCACAATGCAGCATGGTAGAAATGATCCAAGGAGTGAACACCACAGCGCCAGGACCGCTCTCCCTTCAGGCAGCCAGCAGGATGCTAATACTGGGCCTGATCAATGCACCTCCTATTTCCTTACAGCACAATGCAAGCAGCTGCCCAGCAGAGCTGGCTGCAAAGACTGTGCAGGGCTTTGGCTGGTTTGCCTTTTGCAGCCAGCTCCTTGTGTGAAGAGCCTGCTCAGAGGGGAAACCACTGCTTCTAGGCACTGCGTGAAGCCCAGAAGGGAACGTGGGCTGTGAGGGCAGGATATGCCTGACCTGTAGTGTTGGCTGGCACAGCCTGGAGGAGTAGCAGCCAGAGTATTTTTCTGAATGTAAATACCTCCCGTGAGCCCGCATCCCACCCTCTGCCTGTCAATGACTGTCGGCACAGACCGTTCCGGATGTGCCACCCTGCACAGAGGAGCATGTGTGAAGAGCCTGAGAACACTGTGGGATGGGTGGCCCCTGCTGTCCTGGTGGGGGGCAGGGAGCAGAAGCAAATCATGGGACTGTCATCTCCTCCCTCCCCTGGAGCCCTGTGATCAAGCAGAAACACCAGCGCAGCAGGCTCTTTGTGGAAGGGCACAGATCCAGGGCTTTCCGGAGGCAGCTGCTGCAGCCAGCCACAGAAGCCTCCCTTGAGAAAGGGGGCCAGATGCACCATTAGCTTGTGCAGTGTACCAGCCAGAGAGGAGCTGGAAGCTGCACATGCTGCCTGTCTCAGCTCAGCCCTCTGCTCAGTGGGCCTGTGAAATCTTCGGGGAGATCAGGCCCAAGGAGAGGGCGGGGCAGCAGCTCCCAAGAGTCTTTCCCCCCCTCCAGTGGGAGCCATGTAACACCCACTGAGTGGGGTGGAGGGAGACTTGAGTCCCCCTATTTCAGATTGCTGGCATTTGTACTGCAGCTCAACTTTAAGGGTCAAAATGTAGGCTAGATAAACAGGCTTTTAATAAAACCTCCTGTTTCCATAACTGTTTTCAGTTCCAATGACCAGTTCCCCCGAAGTGTTTGCAGCTCGGACACGGCCGGGTAAAGACCCGAAAGGGGAACTGACTGCAGCGACCGTCATGCCTGAGCTGTGGGGAATGCAGCAAGGACCCAGAGCATCAATAGCAACGAGCCAAGTGGAATTGGAAACCACTTTTACTTTGTTTTAGGCCATTTGGCCTTAAGTTGATGCCCGGCCTTTAAAAAGAGGCCTTGGATGATTCTTTTTTAAACAGGAAACAGAGATTTTCTCCTTCACTGAACTCCACAAAAACGGAAGGAATTTTGCATAAGCTTAAAACCCAAGAAGTCCCTGGCTGGCAGACTGGGTCCAGAAACCTTCATCCAAGAGGGGACTGGGAAGCTGCCCAGATGGAAAGCTTTACTGCAGTGCCGCTGCCAGACTGACTGGGGCTTTAGGGTGCAGGTTTATGCACAGGAAACAAGCTGCCGCCTTTGGTAATGGGATGCAAAAACCTTTGCCCTCTCCTATGCCTGTAAGTAGCAGACAGATGCTGCTGGGTCAGTGCTCACTCGGTGGGAGCCAGGCAGCCCCATGCCAGTCTCCCCGCCAACGTAGCCGGTGATACATGTGGCATCTCAGAGGCATCCATTACTCACTGCTCTTGCCAGGAGCGGCCAGACCTTATCGACTGGCCAGGAGGGACTTGTGAAGTATCCTTGCCCTGCTGCTCAATACCGAGCTAATGAAGACGTGTTAATGGGGAAGAGATGGGACTCTCTGACTGAGATTTCCCCTTTCAAGCTCCTGCAGCTCCCCATGTGACAGTCACTACTGAAACTTTTTTGAGCCTCTCTAACTTCCCCAGAGCCCTAAATAATGGGGGGAGAGGGCTCCTTTTACTTGTTCTCCCTCGAACCTATAGGGCAACACCATTGCTGTAAGAAGCAACAGAGTCCTGTGGCACCTTATAGACTAACAGATGTATTGGAGCATAAGCTTTCGCGGGTGAATACCCACTGCATCAGATGCATGGCTCTACTTTGCCAATGCCCTGTGTTAGGAATGTACAGTGGGACCCTTGGGTTAATCATAGGTGATGGAACTGGGGGCCAGCACTCCCTCCAGTGTAAGATTTCTCTGTCCCCTAAAGAGGTTTTGCATGACTGAAAACGGTTCTATTACCAGTACACAGTGAAGCTGCTCTCCATTCATGCTTTGCCTTTCAGGGTTCACATTCCTGTCACGCCACCTGGTCTCCCTTGGGGGGCACAAAGGGAGGAATTCAGATTCCCCCCAATTCCTGCAACTGAACCCTGCAAAGTGTTCTGTTAAACCCAATCACTTCTCTCTGAATACTGTTTTCCCACCCTGCTCCCAGTGACCCCTGAGATTGCTGTAACTGGGAGAAATCTGAGAAAAAGCACTTTGTGCCTGTCTTCTTAATTACTTGCCTTGTATACCTGGTCAGTTCCCCCTTGGGTCTCACAGCTAAAGCAGAAACATGTTCAAAAATAGAAAAATGCTGCTGTAAAACCACACGTGAAAACCAAGGCATTGTGATCCCAGAGCCACACCTGGACACGTGCACTTCGAGGTAAACATCAAGTCTTTACACAGCTCAGACTGTTGGGAAACCCAGGGTTCCTGAAGTTTAAGTGCTTTATTCAACAGTTTAAATGCTTGAAGGGGGATTGCTTAACAAAATGGGTAGCGGGGGGAATCAGTGGCACAACACTGATTAAACAACACTGGGTGCTCGAGCCTGCCAACAGAATGAATATTTAGGAAGATATATCCGAAGAGGAGAGACAAAACCAGTTACATTGTGAAGACTGCCTATGGGGAACATAAATGCATACAAGCCCTTCAAAGGAAGGGACCGTCAAGTTAAAGGTATGTCAAGAAAGGCTACTTTATCTCCACATTTTACATTCACTGAGACTCCACCTCTCTTAGAGAGCCCCTTGCTCACCAAAATGTTTAGTTAACACACACACTTTTCATTAATGCAGTAGAACTCCACTCGGCAATATTAACTTCAGGTCTTAGCCGCTTGCACAGCCGTGCACAGATGACATTTGCCCAGGGGGAATAGAGTTAGTTCTGTATTGTAGTGTGATAGGGAGGAATGCAATGCGTGTGCTGGTACTGTACACTCTGGAAGTGTTTGGGACTTATTGCTAGAGCTCTACAACCTATCCTGAAAGATGATCCTTTACTCTCACAGATCTTGGGAGACAGACCTGTCCTCGCTTACAGACAACTCCCCAACCTAAAGCAAATACTCACCAGCAACCACACATCACTGAACAAAAACACTGACCCAGGAACCTATCCTTGTAACAAAGCCCGATGCCAACTCTGACCACATATCTATTCAAGTGACATCATCATAGGACCTAATCACATCAGCCATACCATCAGGGGCTTGTTCACCTGCACATCTACCAATGTGATATATGCCATCATGTGCCAGCAATGCCCCTCTGCCATGTACATTGGCTAGACCGGACAGTCTCTACGCAAAAGAATTAATGGGCACAAATCTGACATCAGGAATCATAATACTCAAAAACCAGTGGGAGAACACTTTAACCTGTCTGGTCATTCAATGACAGACCTGCGGGTGGCTATCTTACAACAGAAAAACTTCAAAAACAGACTCCAACGAGAGACTGCTGAGCTGGAATTGATATGCAAACTAGATACAATCAACTCAGGATTGAATAAGGACTGGGAATGGCTGAGCCATTACAAACATTGAATCTACCTCCCCTTGTAAGTATTCTCACACTTCTTATCAAACTGTCTGTACTGGGCTATCTTGATTATCACTTCAAAAGTTTTTTTCTCTTACTTAATTGGCCTCTCAGAGTTGGTAAGACAACTCCCACCTGTTCATGCTCTCTGTACGTGTGTATATATATATCCTCAATATATGTTCCACTCTATATGCATCCGATGAAGTGGGCTGTAGCCCACGAAAGCTTATGCTCTAATAAATTTGTTAGTCTCTAAGGTGCCACAAGTACTCCTGTTCTTTTTAAGGATGGAGATTCTCCCTAGGTAACCCATTCCAGTGCTTCACCACCCTCCTAGTGAAATAGTGTTTCCTAATATCCAACCTAGACCTCCCTGTGACGAAGTGGGAATGTTCTTAATGTTTTCTCTGAATACTACGTGGGTGCCTCAGTTTCCCCTATGCATTTCTTAGGTATCTAGGTGGGGGGGATCAGGGTGTATAATTGTTGCAGAGCCCAAGAAGCCCCCTGTGATACTGTCTGCACAGAGAATGGCCGGCACTCTGTCTCCTGGCAACTAATGACCTGGGCCCCTCCTCTGCAAAGATGCCAACTGAAGGTGTTGGAGAACAGAG